TGTAAATACCAGAGGAGCCAAACACCAACTCCTCGTAGACCGCACAGTTGCCCGAGACTGCAAAACCCGACACACCAACCTGTGCATGGCTTGGATCGATTACAAGAAAGCCTATGACTCAATGCCGCATACTTGGATCATTGAATGCCTAGAGATGTATAACATCAACAGGATTCTGAGAGCCTTCATTGCAAACTCGATGAAGCTGTGGAAAACCACCCTTGAAGCCAACTGCAAACCACTTGCACAAGTGTCCATCAAATGTGGCATATACCAAGGAGATGCTCTGTCCCCGCTACTGTTCTGCATAGGCCTGAACCCCCTCAGCCAAATTATCAACAAGACTGGCTACATCAGTCACCTCCTCTACATGGATGACATGGATGTATGCCAAGAGCGAGCGAGACATCGACTCACTGATCCACACCACCAGGATCTACAGCACTGACATTGGGATGTCATTCGGACTAGAGAAGTGTGGTCGGCTGATCACAAAGAGGGGGAAGGTGATCCACACAGAAGGAGTCTCACTCCCACAAGGAACAATAGCAGACATAGAGGACAGTTACAAGTACCTAGGTATACCACAAGCAAATGGCAACCTCGATGAGGTCACAAGGAAGGGAGCCACAGCTAAATACCTCCAACAAATAAGACAAGTCCTGAGAAGCCAGCTCAATGGCAAGAACAAAATCAGTGCGATAAACAGCTATGCCCTGCCAGTAATCAGATACCCTGCTGGAATAATTAGCTGGCCAAAGGAGGAGATAAAAGCCACATATATTAAGACTAGAAAGCTACTAACCATGCATGGAGGGTTCCATCCCAAATCCAGCACCCTGAGACTGTACACGAGCCGCAAGGACGGAGGCAGAGGACTAGTGAGTGTGAGAACCACTGTCCAGGACGAAACAACTAAGATCCATAAATACATCAGGGACAAAGCCTCAACAGACAATGTGCTCAGTGAATGTCTCAGACAACAGGGAACGGAGGTTGAGGTGCCAGAGATACCATCATGGGAGGACAAGCCCCTACATGGGATGTACCACCAGCAAATAACCCAAGTGGCTGATATCAGTAAATCCTACCAATGGCTGGAAAAAGCTGGACTCAAGGACAGCACAGAGGCCCTCATCCTGGCCGCCCAGGAACAGGCCCTAAACACCAGAGCAATAGAGGCCCAGATCTACCACACCAGACAAGACCCAAGGTGTAGATTGTGCAAGGAGGCCCCTGAGACAGTCCAGCACATCACAGCAGGGTGCAAGATACTGGCAGGGAAAGCGTACATGGAGCGACATAACCAAGTGGCAGGCATAGTGTACAGAAACATCTGTGCAGAATATGGACTGGAAACCCTAAGATCAAAGTGGGAAACACCCCCAAAGAACACCAGAGCTAAGATCCTGTGGGACTTCCAGATCCAGACAGACAAAATGGTAATGGCAAACCAACCAGATATTGTCGTAGTGGATAAACATCAGAGGAAAGCCGTTGTGGTAGATGTAGCAATACCAAGTGATTGCAACATCAGGAAAAAGGAGCACGAGAAACTGGAGAAATACCAGGGCCTCAGGGAAGAACTGGAGAGGGCCTGGAAGGTGAAGACCACAGTGGTACCTGCGGTCATCGGGGCCCTCGGGGCAGTAACCCCCAAACTGGAGCAGTGGCTACAACAGATCCCAGGAACAACATCAGACATCTCAGTCCAGAAATGTGCAGTCCTTGGCACAGCCAAGATACTGCGCAGAACCCTCAAGCTCCCAGGCCTCTGGTAGAGGACCCGAGCTCAGAGGATAAGAACCACCCGCGGTGGGTGAGAAGGGAATTTTATATATATATATATATATATATATATATATATATATATATATATATATATATATATATATATATATATATATATATATCTTGGTAAAACGATTCACACAATCAAGCTTGTAACTTTCAGTTTGATCGAAAAAAACAACAAAACTCATATAAATAAATAAGCCTGGTCTTGTCTCTCTTTTTTTGTATTTTTTTTATCGCAATGAGAATCAGTCTTTTCTAACTTTTGTCATATTCTCTTTAGCCTCAGTGTTCGTTTGTTTTTTAAACAGGTGAAAAAAAAATTCAATTAGAAAAACTTGTGTGTTTGAGACCTTGTCACTGTCTTCATGTCACTTACCTTTGCAACACCTAAAATACGCTCCATGATGGTCTCTTTAATTCTAACACCCTCTGATTCTAGATGACCATCCAGACGAGAAAGGTCAAACGGGATCAGGCAGGTCATGGACAGCCACAGCAACAACATGTAGCGTGTTTCCCAATTCTGAAATGTGAAACAAATAAATCTTACTAATGTAATGTAGAAAGCATATAGTTTGCATACAACTGTAACCAGCCACAAACAAAATTGCTACACAATAACACTAAATCAGTACATTTTGTTTCTACAGCACCTTCCTTCACAAAGTGCTTTACATAGGCAAAACAAAACAATGTAACTATTAAATTGCAGTCTTATGTGAACATAAGTTTAAATGGCCATGCATATAATAATGTGACACTAATACAATTTAAATCATTTATTGTTATACAGACAGAATGGAAGAATGTCTGTATATTATTTTTTGACATTGTTTACCTCTAAATCTTGAGGATCCTGTCTGGATATCATCTCCAGAACTGGATGAACATCAGACACCTCATGAGGAAGAAGTTGCATGAAGATTTTATAGCCTCTCACCTAACGAGAAGAAGAAACAATTATATAAATCAACTAAAGGACTAAGTTATGTGTTAGAGAAATGTATGAAAAATCTGTGAGTTGCAGGATGGGTGACTCGCATAATAACATTTTAACTGACCTTGCAAACGACATAAAGGAACTGGAAGCTCAGATGAAACAATGAAGGGGGTGAATTTTCATTCTTTATGAAGTTCAGCAGCATATTCGTTACCCATTCTAATAACAGTACAAAAAAATTAAAGTGAATAGACTTTTCATTTTTTCTGCAAAAAGTAGTATTTAGTGATGTCTGCAGTGTACCTAGATGAGGATCCAGCAGATGAGGCTGGTCCTGGTACCTGTCCATTATTACTGTTGGCATAAAAAAAAAAGATACAGACTATTAAGGACTGAGGTTCAAACCCAACGTGAGTTAAAAGCTTTATTGTGATTTGCAGCACCTCTGAACTTCTGAACTGCAAACTCCCCTGCTCTCTCGTCTTCGTGGATTTCTGGAAGACTACCGATGAGTGTTCTGGTTTCACTGCTCTCACTGAAGCCACCCAAAACACATGTTTTAATGATAGCATCTGCCTCTTCCTCCCCTCCTTCTGGGAAACCGTTTCCTGCTTCCGATAAGTCCATACTGCTGGTGTTTTTTTAGCTACTGAAAGCCTCTGTAGCAGGGTATTCTTTTACTAAGTTTTACAATACCTAGCTAGCTAATATTAGCATCTCACCCTAGCAAAACAACTGGTAAAAGCTACGAGGCAACAGGATTAGCAAGAAAAACACGTTTAAGAACAAAATACTACATTTTGTGTTGGTACAGAGAGAACGTGAAGTAACTCTACTTGCAAAAAACGAGTGTGATATCTTAACTGCTGGGGTGATGGCGCACAATACAGCAGTAGTCACGTTCCCCACCCCTGCACGTTGATGTGCCGATCGCAATCGAGTCGACCGGATTTGCAAACTCTTTGAAATGAACGACGGGAGCCGAGTTTTGCTGGTTCACAATGTTTTCCTGTGTGCTTTTACCCTTTCGCACTTTTTTGTATATTAAACCTATAGAAATATCCTCAAGTTTTCCGATAGTTTTTAATTATATATCCACTCTTAAAAAAGGAGAGCCCTCAATTTATCATATACGGTCCGCCTATGATGTGCTTCCTGAAAACTTGTATACAGCTAAGAGAACTGAGATATTTTTAGATGAATAATTACAAAGAGTCCGTTTTAAAAAATTAGAATTATATATTTATTTACATATCATTTGCATTTTAGACACTGTGATTCACCTATTACAGTACAGTAGAAAAAAAAAATCAAACCCATGCCAGTTTAAAATCTGACATTTAAATTATCCAAGCCAAAAACCTATTCCTGTGCACAATGCGGATAATCCTCATATGTGTCTTTGCACATATACTAATTCAATTTCGAAATCCGACCCCTTTGTAAGAGGTAGAGGTCTTAGTGAATTAAAAAGACATTTTGGAAGAGTTGTTACTGAACTGAATCAAATTATCCGAATCCTAAGCAAGAGTCGGAATTCCCCTTACTGGACGTGCTTCGAAACGCCACGCCTTGCTACGGCGAGTGATTGGATTCAAAAAAGACAAACTGCAGCAGGGCCGAGCTCAGCTTGCGGTTTCTCAAAGATTGGCTACTCCATGTCTTCCTGACACAACGCCAACAGGGCCGTGCAGAGACCTTTGGAGGGGCCGGGGCACATGGCTACATAGTCTATAGTTTGTTTGTTCTTTATGAGTCGATTTTTGCATTTTAATTTCTGCGTTATATTTGTGCTGCTTTTTTGTGCCAATACATTGCTTCTTGGGAACAAATAAATTATATTGAACTGAATTAATACCCTTGTCAAAAACTGCAAATGAACACCAATGGTTCCATATGTTCACATAATAGATAAAACCTTGTTTCTGGTGTAATTTGTGTGAATGCTGTAGAGCGGGGGTGTCAAACTCCAGTCCTGAAGGGTCGCTGTCCTGCAACTTTTAGATGTGCCTCAGCTTTTTATGAATTTGTCACCCCACAGGGGAAATCGCTCCATCCTGTGGCAGAATTGAGAATTACAATATGAAATGTCTTTTGTGTCTCTCGGACAGATGTTTTAGGTCCTGCCCAGGGCCGTGCAGAATACAAATAAAGACATTTTATTTTATTAAACAATAATAACAAAGAAAACTTAGTTCAGACAAATGCTTGGAATCATTGCATAATGTATTGTTGGTTTATTAGCAAAAAAAAAAAAAAAAAAAAAAAAAAAAGACAGCCAATGCATATCAGGATCATCAGAAAAAACTATGGAGATTGTAAGACTGCATATGTCAAATCTTTAAAATACCAGGAGCTACAGTCCTTGTTGAGTGTAATTTACTTTGGGACAACTGCATGTAATGAAATAATAGATATGAGAGGAAACACCTCTCATATCTGCACCCCAGCAGATGAATACTTTGTGTTTGTTCTTCTGCCAAGTTTAATGACCTTGAAGAAACCTACACTTCATTTATTTAGCAACAGTTTTAAATCATGGAATTACACATAGTGTATAATACAGCAGAGTGTTGCAACATATTTATTTTAATTATCCCAATGTTTTTTTCTCCATTTTCAATACAACATCTAAGAAATTCCAACATGCAGTTAGATATTTTAGAATCTTTGAGAATGTTTAGTAAATTTCACTCTTTGCCATGTTGTTTTTTATCTAAAAAAATCTAGATATTACTTTGCTTATGATAAGACTTAAAGCCTTTTTTTAATTGGAACTGAGAGAGTTTTTATTTGAGCAAATTCTTCATAATCCTTATCGACGAGCCTCTGTAGCTACCTCCAAAGTGATTCCAGTGATTCAGGTAATGGAAGAGCTGGTAGAGCTGGTTTCTTTGTGCAAACCCTGGTGTTTGAGGAATCTTATCATGGTAAGCAGAGTAGAAAGAGTTGTCGAAGCCACCAAACATCCCACTAATAGCAAGCTCAAACTCTGAATGGCCATAGAAAGAAGCTGGGTCAAAGATGACTGGGCCATCTGCACACTCTGCCACGTTGCCCCCCCATAAGTCTCCATGGAGGAGGGCTGGGACGACCTCCACATTGGTGAAAAACTCAGGGATCTTCAGCTTTAAGAAAGGGACAACTTATGCATCACATTAACAGATATCATAAGGTGATACAAAGACTTAAAGAAATGTTCTAGTAGTCAATGCACCTGCAGTTTTGCCCACAGCTCTCTGGCCTCCCGATCTCCATGCGATTTCTCCACCATGTTCAGTTGGTACTCCAGCCTCTGCTGGGAGTAAAACTGCACCCAGTCGCTCTGCCACTCATTTTTCTAAAGACATGATGGAAAACCAATAAGGATTTTGATGCCATTGTTCATCAATACATTATGTAGACATGTGTTTTTACCTGTGCTATATATCCACAGCAAGTATTTACACCAAAGCCAAATTTCTCAACAGGATCGGTCTTGGTGTGTCCAGCCCCTTTACCTGCAAAGGGAGACATATAATTAAAAAAAAAACCTTAGTGTAATTTGAAAAAAATAAATCATGGACATGTACGGCATTGAAAATGTGCTTGTGAATGCAGTGTGGCCTGTTCTTTGCATGCACCGGAATACAGTCCAAGTAAATTACCCACTGTTTGCTGCTCTTTATTTTGTTTTTCCAACAGTCTTTTGTTGTGAAGGTGCAGATCCGCCAGCTGCTCTCCCAGCTGTTTAGAGTACCTGCTCAGTGGATTTGACACAGATTACTTTTAAGAACATAAAGTTACTCCCCTACAAACAGTAAGTGTTTCACTGTCTAATTCTAGGATAGACCAACATAAAATAGTGCATAATTGTTAAGCCCCATCTACAGTAAAGAAAAGTACAAGAGCAAAACTAGCAAAGTAACAGTGGCTCCACAAAGCACTGACCCAGATGGCTTGATACAAATTCACAACACATTTCAGTTTGTAAAAAAAAAAAGGGAAAAATAATGAAACAGTTTTTTCCCCCAACACAATCATACATCGTATTCATCTACAAAAAAAAAAAGCATAAATGCCAAAAATAACATTGAAGTTTAAAGTTGCAACCAGGCAACATGTTTTAATGCCTCCTTTTTCTACAAAGCCCTGCAAATACAAGTAGGGAGCTCTCACTTGTTAAGACTTTTCATATCCAGATGCTCCATCACAAATACGCAGCCTCCTGTGTCAAGCTCAATCACTTTCAGTGGTTTCGGGACTTTGACAGTTTCTGTCTTTAAAATTGTTTCCAGGCTCGACATCTCTCCATCAAACATCAACTTGGCCTGTAAAAAAATAGCAAAATTAGTCGCTGATCATTGTCATTCGACAAGTTTCCAGTATTTTCCAGGGTCGCGGTGTGCATTATTATCATTCGAAAAGTAACTGCACAGCACTGCGAATGCATTCAGAGTTGGAACACATTTGTTTTTTCTCTAGTCTGAATTTGGCACAGATTGCAAACTCGAGATTAAAACTCAAATTAAACAACAGTTTATTAATTAAAATCATTTAAAAAAACGACATACCCCGCTTTTGTGATTGATCTTCACAAACACTCTGCCGTGATCAGTGTCGTAACTATGGCCCTCACTGATGCATCCCCCGCCTGCGTGTCCAGTTGACTTCAGCATATTTGTCCCCAGCTCTTTCTTTAATTTAGCTTCCATTGTGTTATTCTATAGCTTGTCCTTGTAAAATCACAAAACTATTACAAATTAATGCCAATGCAGCAGGTCAGGAGACCAGAGACCGTCTACCTGACAGCTTCTGTCGTCTAAATCAACCAGCACTCTTTCGAGCATAAGAGAACAGTGGAGAGAATTGTTTTGTTTCCGTATTATTTTTACGGATTATGTTACGACCAATCAGAGGGCGCCATGAGACGATTGATTTCTATCCCGACCTATTACGGTTAAGTACTAGAATCACGTGAGCGTCACTATGGTTGCCAAATGAGGCGACTATGAAAACATGATACTACGGTCTTGACTTGCTACCTCCATGCAGAAAAACGCAAAATGACCAGCAAAGAAGTGTGTTTACTTCTTGGGGCAACTGGTGTCGGAAAGACTTTATTACTGAAACGCCTACAAAATATCCTTTATGCTCGTTTGAACGTTTAAAGTCAGGCAGGATTTACAACAAGCTAATAGCTAATGTAGCTATTGCAATTAGCCTGTTGTAAAATGGGTTTTAAACGGCTGTTGACTGACAGACCTTGTTAATTTATTGAATATGTTTTATAGCTCGAGCAATAACTCTGAACATAATACCTGGACATTTCTAACATGAAAAATAGTTGTCTTTACAGGACAGGTAAATTTAAACCACAGCAGTTGCTCCTTTTTGGTTGTGTTTTCCTTACAGGTTTATGAACTGATCAGTTTACATGGTTCATGCGAAATGGGTTCGCCTCCATCGACTCTTCCGACAGTAAGCATATTGTTTTATATTATATGAACATCCTAGACTTGGTTTTCATGCGACACCATTCTTAACGGGGTCAAATAATAATCAAACTTATATCTTAACAGGTTACAAGAAGTATATTTATATCTCTTCTGGTGTTTCTGCTAAACAATAAAGGTGTCTGGCCATAAATATATTTTTTATATTTGGAGAAAGAATGAAGAGGCTTAAAACCCCAAAGAACACCCCATCTACAGTGAATGAGGGTTTTAATGTGTTCTTGTCAAGGTGAAAGAAAAATATGTGAATGAAAGACAACCAAAAACTGTCAGCAGTATTTCTTGCGGGAAAATTTTCCTAAGCATCCAAAATAAACCTTGAATGTTTTTTTGTTTGTTTTGTTTTTATAAAAAACTGTTTAAAATTCTTTTACCATCACTGAGGGAGTCATTTCAAAACAATGACATGTTCAGGGGATAATAATTTTGTCTCCAATTTTGTATCCAAATATTCAATTATGTCTGATGTGCAGAAAAAAATAAGAAATGATAGCTGTAAGGTTCTATGATCATTTTCTGTTTTGGTTGCCATGCATTAACTCTTGGATCAGCGCTGACTGCACATTATCACGACAATGTCAACACACTATTTATTCTTCTGCAGGTAGGAACCAACCTTACAGACCTGACCTTGAAAAAGAAGAAGGTGACAGTGAGGGAACTTGGAGGCTGCATGGGGCCTATATGGCCCAGTTACTTCCAGGACTGCTTCTCTGTTATTGTATGGGTTTTGTATACATGTTGCATTATTTACTTTTAACGATTTAAGAAAATATACTGTTTTCTTAGTTAGAATCTTTATTTCTTTTTTATATAGTTCATGGTGGATTCAGCCAACATTGTCCAGATATCCTCCTCCTGTATCCAGTTGCTGTCTGTGCTCTCTGCTGAGCCTCTGCACAGTGCCTCAGTGCTTATTCTCTTCAACAAGAGGTATAACATCCACATCAGTCCAGATAAGCAAGTTGTCACATAAAGTCAGTTCAAGATCCAATTTCCCAGCCTTGTGTCTTGGATAGGGTTATGTTGCATTTGCTGATGTTTCACTCCAATGTTTTCCAGGGACATGCCTTGTATTATGAGCCTCACAGAGATAAAGTCACTTTTCAGAATGGATGACATCATTGCATCGGCTCCTCAGCCTATCACAACACTGGAGGCTAGTGCCCGCTCTGGACAGGGTTTGCAAGAGGTGCTGGGCTGGCTGGAGTCTATCATAGTCGTCAAGTGATGTGTGTTTGAGATTTTACTGAGACGTTCCTCTAAGAACTCGGAGAAGCCGTCTAAAGACTTTACATCAAGGTTCTCAGTCTACAGCATCAACTCTGATTTCAGGCGATTTGATGCCACATTTAAAAAGAAAAAAAAAGACAAAGAAAATGGGCTGCAAACCTTGTAAGAAGTGAAATTTAAGAGGGAAATCTGTCCTATTATTTGCTGGAAATGGACATGATTGAATGAAATAATCATTGTGATGTTTGTTTAGTAATATCATTTAGGTTACATCTGCCAATTTTCTTTCATACAAGTCGCTCCAACTAATTCATTCTTGCCTGATGAGCAGTAATAGAACCACATGCTAAGGCTAAATATAATGAATCAAAATATGATTTGAGTTTGACTTAAAAACAATGGCTCTAGAGGTTCGAATTACAAATTATTAAACACTTGTTCAAATACATATTGCATAAAATTAATGTTATCACATTTTGCATATAATTAGAATATTGTTATTATAAACATTCCAACTAATGAGCGAGGAAACCATTATGCAGAGAAAGACACAAAAAGAAGTATAAATGTTTGCAGAAACAGTCAGAAGTAGGTCACAGTTGCTCTGAGATGATGTGCTGTGTAGAGGAAAGCAAAGTACAACTTTTCATGCCTATTTATAGGCCAGAAAATGAAGGCCACTATAAAAAAAATACAGAGCTAGATAAAGATACGCCTATGGATGAAATTAATGATTTTTTTTAGGTGTTGATATAAGTGCAGAGGAAGATTCATCACTAAAATTAGTTTCTGGCATAAATCTAAGTTCTTTCAGCAGAACAATGACTTGAATTGCACATAAAGCACAAAAAAAGGGATCATTGAGGGGAGAAAGTGGGCTGGTTTAAAACTTGGCCTTGGATTATTCCTCTGTTAAACGTAGCAAAGAGCTAGTGCAAACCCAAAATAAAATGACAAATAAAACAAACTGCTCATGGTCAGGATTTGGTCAGTGAGCCTTTTCCTTAAATTAAGTTTTCCTACTTTTCAGTAGGAATTTCCATTTGTTATGTTCACTCATGGTGAAGTGCCAGTGTCTGCTGCACAGCTGCTGAATCAGCTATCCAGTCCATATATTACATTTCTGTAATTCTATATTTAAAGTTATTTTTCTATAGGTTTTCTTTAGCTATAAGTAAACTGTGGAAATTATTAATGAATGTAACAAATCTATATAAGCTTCTTTTATATTCCAATTTATAAAGTATTTTTTTTTCAGTGACACTAAAATTTAATAAGATGCTCTCATTTATAAGGCAACTTGTTTATATAACGGTATGAGTATTGCGGTACAGCATAAATGTTTATGTATTCTTTGGCAATATCTATACTTTTTTTCTCCATTGGTATCTGGAGCGCTCTGATTTAATTAAACTGATGCTACTAATTCTGTACATTTGTGTTTATTCTTTTAATATTGAGAGATTTACAAAAGACTTAGATGTTCCTTTAAGTTTTATCAGGATTTTACCCACTTGCATGTAAAGGCAAAACAAAGACTCAAACTGGTTTTTGCTTGTTTTTTTACTTAGGGTGATCATTTTCTGTTTAAATGTACTTCTGATAACAGAGGAGATGAGGAAAAATAAGAGTAAATAATTCTGAATAAAAATAAATGGTTGCAGATTTGCTACTGTATTTCATTAGTTAGTGTTTTAACAAGCAAATGGTTTTACATTCCTGATGCCATCTTGCATATTGGGAATTCACAACACAATAGGTAGTTTAATCCCACAATTATTTTATATATGTAGGTTGAATAAACCGATCATTTCTGGTTCAGAGAAGGTTCACTGGGTAAATGAGTTGATGCAGGCACTGGGCAGGTGTTGCCTGTTGCAAGAGATCTGAGGCTCAGCACTAACCACAAAGCTCATGGACAACAAAGTAATATCAAAGTGTGCTTCTGTTTTGTTTGAAATTATTACCGATTAAAAACAGTACAACGGCTTTCATTGGTTGTGGTGGAGGAGCAGAACTAGCTTGCGACAATATAAGCATTACTGTTGTATACAACGATATAAAAACCATTAATAATACGCTTTTCGGACAAGTCTTTAGTGAGGCGGTTTGGTTTGCAAAATTAGCGTTATTCAAAGAGCATTCCTCATTTTTTTTCTAGCCCAGTTTGGAGGGTCCTTATAAGAATGGGTTGATGTTGGTTTGTGAAGCTTGTGATTCCTCATTGGTGGCTGAGGAGAAGGGCAACAAAGGCTCAGGGAGCTTCACTGGCAGCTCCAGACCAGGCGGAGTGGGGTGGGTGAGTGACGAAGGTATGGCGGCACCCTGGTGGCTTGTCGGCAGGGGCAGTGAGGCACTGTACGGCAGAGAGGTGCTCTGGGAAACTGGAGAGGCAAAGCTAGAGCTCATTTCATTCAGGCTGACTTTTGGCTGCTCGGCTTGGAATGGATTGACAGCTGAAGGAGCACTAAGACCTAAACAAAAAAAACAAAAACAAAAAAAAAGTCATTAGTTTACTCTTTTTTTTTTGGTTTGGTTGAATGCCAAACAGCAAGTAAAAATGTACAGGGTGGGTACCATCTGCCTTCAGCCGTAGTGCAAACATTTGTAGTGCCAAAGTACCTGCTAAAAATGGGTTTGTGGTCTTTGGAGGAGGATTTGTTGGAATGAGCACATCAAGGTCTACCAAGGAAGCAGCAGTGGGACCGAGGAATGACTCTGGTGTCCTGCATGTACGAGGCTTAGTGTTGGCAAGGCTGTCTCTAAGACCCGACATATTGAAGAGGTCAGAACTGTCCTCATCTTGACCGTTAATACTCGCGTGGCCGCCATCCATCGCTTCGTCAAACAGATCCCCATCTAGCAGGAGAGATAAAAAGCAACGTAAGAATGTGGGACACAAAACCCAGTACAGACTGAGTGACAGAAAAACTTTACCTGAAGGGCTTCCACTTCGAAGTGGAGGATGCATGAATGCTCCTTTAGTGGCTGCTGTGTCAGATGGAGCCAAGAACGGATCGACTCCAGAGGACGCTGTGGATAAACCACAACTTGTGACATTTTTACTTGACTTTTTTTTTAGATGTATGAGTGTGTCTGATGACCCACACTTACCAGAAGTCCAATCTTGGGCATTGGGTTTGGAGATGTTGTCTTGGAGTGCATCCCAAGGGTACGCTGGAGGTTCCCACGGAGGTGGGGGGCTTTGAGAAGGTGGCACCATCCAGGGGGAATCAGCTCTGGGAGTCTTGTCTTCTTTTGAGAAAATGGCAGTAAAATATTTTTTCATTAGCAAAATGGAGGGCAAAATTGCCATCAACAGAGTCTAGCCACACATTGCATCTAAAAAGATATATTTATGTAAGAAAACACTGATTGTGCAAGGATATTTTGACACAATTGCAAAAATATTCATACCCTTCAAACTTCCCAGCAAATAGATATGTTTGTTAATGTATCTATTTATGTTTACAAACATAAATAGATATGTGGATTTTTTTGTAATAAATCAACACAAAGTGGCACATAATTCAAATGTATGGTTTTCAAAATGCTTTGCAACTAAAAATCTGGAAAGTGTAGACTGTGCTCCCTTTAGGGCAGCAACTAACAATTAGTTTAGTAATGGACTATTCTATTGATTATTCAGATGATTAATCAGATTTTTTTTTAATTGCCCATTTGTGCAGAATTTTCTTGTAACCACTTAAGCCTTTTTATTCAACATAAAAAATACATTAGAACATGTAAATAGTCAAATTTTTCATTTCCTTTTTTAAGTAACAAAATCAATATTTTACTGCCAAAAAATGCAACAGCAACCCATTAGAGTATATGATTCATCATTTGTACATTAATTCATTACTTTTTGCACTAACCCATTGGATCGCAATGATTGGATAGCAAAAGGCATTTAGTAGAAGTTTTTTTTCTACTAAACTGAGGACTTCTGATTGTAATATATTTACAGAACAGGGATTCTTTTATGCTGATTTTTTTAACTCTTAAATATAAATGTATTTATTATAGTGTTTTGGCCTAGTTACTGCTCCGAGTAGGTTGTTCTTAATCAAACAGCCTTTTGTTTGAGTTTGTATACCCCTGTTAATGATTAATCGATTACGACATTAGTTGACAACTACTCCCCTCCATCAGTACTTTCTAGAACCACTTCTGATTTCAGTCACAGCTGTAGCTCCTTAAGGCGTGTCTCTACATTCTAATAACATCTAATAAGTAAATGTTTTGGTCGTTCTCTGATGCTCTCTAGGTGGACTCAAGGCTCACCTAGAGAGTCCCAGGGGTCTGTGGCCCTGGCTCCAGCTGCTGCCTTGTGTGAAGTGTTATTCCAGTGAATGTCACTAGGGGGCGCATCTTTAGGTGCCGCGAAAATATCAACCAGGTCCATGAAGGCTGTCTGAAATCACAAAATAAGAAAAAGAAACAGTTGATAAACCTATTATTTCTATTGTTGTAGTTTATTTCACTTGTTTGTACATTTTTAATCAGTGCCATAATACAATTTTAAGTTTTACTCTAATAAAAAACTTTTTTTAGTGGAGTGTATACGTACTCTTACATTTAAAATTATCACCCTCTACTTTCTTTAAGGAAATAAAATGTCAAAACTATTCATACCCCGCCTTTCCCCTCCATTTCACGTTTGCTCTCCTCCAAGGCTTTCTGGAGATCAGAATCATCTCCTCGGCGAGTGCGCTGCTCCTAAAAATAGATACAGACACATGGATGCCTTTCAGCAGGATGGCTTTGGGCAAAATAAGCATATTGTCACATTATGCTATATTTATGACTACGCTGTCCCGGGGCGGCCTATGCACACAGTTGGCACAAAGTAGGAAGTTTTCTGGTTAAAGAGCGGCGAGTGCAGCGCATCACTGTGACAATGCAGATCCATTGTGTTGCAGTGTGTTAGCCCAGACACATAAAAAGTGAATAGAAATACACAAATGACTCATGGAAATGCAGCCGAAAACATATTATTTGAAAACCTAAAGGAAGTTAAAGTTGACCAAAAGTTAAAACAGTGATGACTACCTGCTGATGTTCCTCCTTGCTCAGGCTCAAGGCTAACTGGAGCTGTGCATCCTCGTCCATTTCCATGGCAGGAGGGGGAGCACGCTTCACTGGCTGTAGGAGGAAGTAAGCATGATATAAACTATGATCAGTGCAAAAACAAAGCTTGGACATCCTCTTTTTTAATTGCATGCAATTTTACTGAGTAAGCATTCAAATGAAAGTGAAGGGTTCAATCCTCTCAGGATCAGATACTATCATAGGCCAGAGTATCTGATGTATTGACCTCAACCAAGTGAATTAAAAGCAGAAATCTAGTGGTTAGTGTGTAAAGAAGAATGAGGTTAGATGTGGTTATTCTTTGGAGAAAGATGACCTTGTCCAGTTTAAAAAGTGACAAAATGATGGATATTATGAGTCGGGTGGTTAATCTTTGGAGAAAGATGACATCTCGTTTAAAAAGTGACAAAATGATGGATATTATGAGTCAAATCTGTAGGGGAAGAGAAGGCGGAGAGTGCGTGGAGCTGGTTGTTGCAGAGCAACAGGTGAAGAGCTGCAAGACAAAGGAAGGCCCATCCCTGGTCCAGGTTTACCTTTACCTTCTGCGCTTCCTCTTTGCTGAGTTTCATTGCGATCTGGAGCTGAGTCTGCTCATCAATTCCCACTGTGGGAGGTGGCTAGAGTCGAGTAGGAATGATTAGGAGGAAGACTGATCAAAAGGAGACATTACAGGCGATTCATCACTGAGTTCATGGGGAAATCATTTGAACAATGCAATAAGTTTTTTTTGTTTTTTTAACACAAAAATGCTAATCAATTTCTCATTAGCGCTCACCTTGTTTGAGCTTAACTTTTAGGCTAAACTTTTTTTAGCATAAACTAGCATATAAATGTCTCAATCGCTGCCTTCGCTATGCAGACTAATGCAGACTGTGGGTCCTCAGGAGTGGATCGATGCACATTTCCTGTTTGGCTCCTCACTTGCTCACTCTCAGATTTCTCATTCTTCTGCATCACTCACACTGATTGGTCAAAGTCCCATCAACGATAAACGCACAATTGCATCATTTTCATGTCTAGGAAATGGTGGCACGGACGACAGGCAGGAGAAGTGAGTGAGCAGGAGCTGTTTAATGTTTTATGAGGGCGAAGCAATTTTAGAAGGCAGTGCAGCTAAGAAATCTCTCTCTGTCCGACACGTGTGCTGGAAAGGACGGGGTTTGGTATTCTGTTGGTGTGTGTGTGTGTGCGTGTGTGTGTTATGTCCATTTGAGGTACCTTTTCACTTTCTTCTCGGCTCATAGCCAGAGCCAGCTGCAGCTGCAGCTCTTCTTCTCCACTAGATGCTGGAATGGCTTGTTCGAGGTCTGGGTCAAGTCGAGATGAAGG